GCCAGGCACTGGGCCAGCTCCGACTTCCATGGGGCGTTGGGGGGGGGGCAGGGCGGTGCCGACAGTCACCGTGGGGGGAAGCTCCCTCTGGGCCCAGGGAACCCACTCAGGGGCCTGGAGTCCGGCTACGGGCTCAGAGAACGGGCAGCGGCTCGGGGCCTGGGGGGACACGGGGCCCCATGTGCCAACCAGGCCGGGCAGGGGGGTCTCCTGGGGATTGGACCCCACTGGGGGTGCTGGGAAAGGGGCCAGTCCCCAACCCCACAGGCGTGGGGCTGACCCTCCCTCCGCTCAGCGATACCCCAGGGGTGAGAGGGAGCAGCTCCAGCCACACGCTGTGCTGGACGCTCCGGGGGATCCAGGCTACGTGAGCATGGGACGCAGAGAGAACAAGGAACCAGCCCCACAGGGCCCTGCCAGAGCCCCTCAGTTTCCCTCCGAGACCCAACAGGAGCCGCGCGGCTGAGCGGGGCCAGCTCGGGCATCTCCCAGGACCTGCCCCGGGCGAGTAGCAGGGGCGGGGGGGGGCATTACTTGCGGGTGCTTTCGTTCTTCAGCAGGGCCTTGGCTTGCTGCTCGCTGATGATGGTGGCCTTCACCTGGGGCGGGTTCATGTGCACGTTCAGCTTCCCCCCCACCAGCAGCCGCACCGTGGCCGCGAACTTGGTCTGCGTCTTCAGCACCTGGGGGGGCTGCTTCTCGATGATGAAGGTGCTGGGGGGGAGGAGCCGGCGTCACGGGGCCTGCGGCTGTGAGATGGGGCCGGGGGCCGGAGCTACGACCGCCAGACGTGCGCGGGGGCGGGGGGACGACCCGGCACATCCCCACCCCAGCTCACAGCCCCTGCACCCAGATCCCCCTTCCCAGTCCCCAGGCCGTATCCCCTCCCGCCCAAAGCACTTGCGCCACGAGCCCCTTTCTCTTGCCACCCGCCCCGCAGTGCCGGCAGCATCCCCACCCCCCGATCCAGCCGGCCCCTGGCCCCTCGCAGCCCAATTCCTACCTGCCCAGGTCAGAGCCTGAACCTCGTCCCAACCGTGCCCCGAGTTCAGCCTCGGCCCCCCAGCCTGTGTGGGGCAGCCGGGCCCAGCCCAGCTCTGTCACCCCAGTGCACATGGGGCAGACATGCCCAGACCCAATCGGGGCCCAGCCCGGCTCTGCCCCCAGCGGTACCTGGTCACCAGGGCGGAGATGATGTCTGTGATGGTGCCGTTGAGCTCGGACAGCATCTCCTCCACGGGCCCCGGGATGGGCAGCTGCTGGCACAGGTGCTCGGCCCGACGGATCTGCTGCCGGTTCTGCCAGATGATCTCGGCCAGCTTCTCACACCTGGGGCGAGGGGCCCCCGGGCCAGGTCAGTGCTCTGGCAAGGCCTAGGGACATCACGGAGCCCCAGGCCTGGGTGTCCCGTGTCTGCTGGTCATGGGGCTCCCGGTCTGCGCGCCCCCCTCGGGGTCCCCCCAGGCCGTCGCGGTCCGGCCTTAGCCTTGCCCTGTGGGGAGCTCAGCCACCCCAGGAATCCAGTCCCACGTTCCTGGCGATGGGGGCAGGTGACCCCTAGTGCCCTGGACTAACAACCTCAGCGGGGGCAGCGTCACCCGCCAGGGCAGCCCCCCCGGATTCCCTGCTGCCGGCGGCACCGTTCCCTGGTTTCCCAGCCAACCGCCCAGGGGCCAAGCGGCAGCTCCCGGGTGCCCAGCCCCCGTTTCCCACGGGGCAGCGCTGGGAGGGGCGGACGCACCAGGACTGCAGCACGTCCAGGGTGCCCTCGGGGGGCCCGCCGTTCCCCGCCAGCTGCTGCCGCCGCTTCCATTGGATCAGCTCGTCGTCCAGGATGGTCGTCTGTTGCTTGCGCAGCAGCTGCAGGGTTTTCTGGTGCTTCTCCGCCAGCTCCTGCGAGGGGACGGGGTGTTAGCGTGGGACGGGGCAGGCAGCGGAACCGCATGGGGGCGTCATCGCCCCCTGCTGGCACCGGGGAGAGGAGTGGGGTCCCCCCGGGGCTGGCGCTCACCACTCGGTACTGCTGTAGTGTCTGGGCCTCCTGGTGCAGCCAGGCCTCCAGCGACGCCTTCTTCTGCTGCAGCGTCGTCTCGCGGGACATGCGCTCCTGGGGGCCCAGTTGGGAGAGCTGGGAGAACTGGGCTGGGGAGGAGGCCAAGAGCGTTAGGCCTGAGCCCCGCCTGCCCCGGGGGCTCCC